GCTGCGCGCGCGGACTCGGGGCGGGCCCGAGCGCTCTGCGAACAGGGGCCAGAAGGGAAGAAAGCAGCGTCGGCACACGTGACCCCGCCCTCACAGCGGCACGCAGTGGGAGGGGCCTCGCGGAGGCCACGCCCCGCGGCTGCGTCCATGGAAACGCGGTGGGGGGTGGGGTTCCCGGGGGCGGGAGTGACTGCCAGCGGGCTCCGAGTTTCACCTCCAGACGGTAGAGATGTTCTGGGTTCTCAGAAAGTGGTGCCACTCGCCTGGAGAGACCCGGGCCCTCCAAGAGACCCGAGAGTCTCCGCCCCCCCGCCCCACCCAGGCCACCTTCCCTGCATCCGCCCCCGGGGTGCCTGCCTGGAGCCCGAGGGCCGCAGGACACCCGGCGTGACCCCGGGGACACCAGCCACGCGATCGACACCGCCGCCGGGCTGCATCCGACAAAGGGCAGAGGCCCGGGTTTTAAAAGGAACGGGCGGGTGATAACTGTCCCTCCAGGGACGAAGCGAAGGAACCCAAGCCGATGAGACGCTCCCAGCCGCACCTTGTACGAACACCTCCCTCTTGTCTCAGTTCCACTCCCTTACTCCCAAAGCCACACTTTGGAGCATTATTCGGCCAAAAAACAGAGGCTAAGTGATGCACCCAGGACTCCAGTGTCAAGAACAGACAGAAACCGAGCCCACACGCCTCCTCCCCGGGGCCGCCCGACTGCAGGAAGACTGCCGGTGCTCAGGCGCCACGCCGGGCATCCCTGCCCACCATCGGGCATAAGACAGCGCCTGGCAACCCGCAGGCGTACAACAGCGGGCGGGATGAGGCCTTCACTCACTGGGCACCATCCGTTGCAGCTGATACAAAGCCGGACCCCAAGTCCCCAAGCCCGGTTCTCGCCCGTGCCTTCAGACTCACAACGGGAGGGTCCTGTCCCCCGAGCAGACGGCAGGGACGTCTCTGGTCTGCACGTGAGCAGGCGGCTGTCCCTCGTAACCCTGACCCCGCTCATGGCACCCACCTTCCCCGTCTGCACTCAGGTTCTCGTAGGAGTCCCAGCGGATCAGCGGGTCTGCCGTGTTGAAGTCCACGATCACCCCGTGGTCGTTCTGCAAATGCTCACACCCTGCGGGGGGAGGGGGTACAGGCTTAACACCGCGAGCTGGCACCTCTGGGTGTCGGCCAGTACCGAGACAGAGAGAGGCCAGACTGGCGTGTGGGAGCCCAGTGCCCAGGCCCACACCCTCCCCGCCGGCCTGTCGGAGGGGCCGGTGCCGTCTGGGGTGAACTGAACAGGAGTGAAGTGCCTGGCAGACAGGAACGGGGGGCATCGCTCCTCCGTCCACCCTGCGCCGGGCGCTGGGCTCCGGGTGTGGCTTCCGCACCACAGGACCACCCTGCTTCTCCGCCAACCCGGACCCAGAGGACCGGCTCCGGGCGCAGGACAGGAGGGGCGGGCTTGGCACAGGCTCCGGGCCCCCGGATCCACACGCCTCTCTTCCGTCACTCTGGGGACACCAAGGCCATTCTGACCCACAGCCTTGCACTCAACTGTTCACGCCTAACTCTGCAGCACTGAGCAGGGAACCACGGTGATTCCTCAGACACTGAATTCAAACACACGGGTCTCCGTGATGGAGACGGACCACCGCCCTGATGACAAAGGGCCGGGTTTCCCTTTCCGTGTATGTTTAGAAGGAAGGAGAGTCTATTCTGCATGTGACTACCCGCTGTCTGTGTACTTCCAATCCTCTTTAAAAACACTTGTTTGTTTGTTGAGGGGAGATGTAAACAGGGCCCTAGTCCTGAGGTTCTGCGACCTTCCTTGGGCAAGTCACGCCTCCCTGGGGTCATACTATCCCACCTGGACCCAGCTGTCTCTGAACCAACCCCTCCCACTGTCTAACATCCTACTTTTCTTTAATTTATATTTTTTTTACCTTCTTTGGGAGACGGAAGGTAATTAGGTTTCTGTATTTATTCTAGAGGAGGTACTGGGGATTGAACCCAGGACCTCGTGCATGTTAAGCACCCGCTCTACCGCTGAGCTACACCCAACTCCTAAAAAATGTATTATAAATATTTCCAACAACATTGTAAAATGATTATAAATCAGTAAAAAATGTTAAAAATAAATAAATATTTCCACATGCTCAAAAGTAGGAGGCTACACAGAGACTCCGATGACCGCATGGCGGGAGCAGGCCAGCATCCCGCCCCGGCAGCCTCCCACCTCCACGCACCTTGAATCTTCTCCGGAGTGGCTGAGAAGACCAACTCAACCTTCCCGTCATCAGGAAAACGGTCATCTAAAAAAGAAATCCTATTTCAGCATGTCTGGAACAACGAGCCCCAAAAAGCTTGGGTGAACTCTGACCTCACAGGCCAGCCTGGGCAGCACCACCCCCACGTCCGCAGCAGTGCGCCCACGGCCGAGAAGGTGCCGATAGCTTCACTGTGCAAGAGTTTTTTCCTTGCTGGATCAATCAGCCTTTTGTGGGACTGGATAACTTAACAATAGGCTAATTTACAGAGGTGGGGAGGGAGGCACAAGGTGGTGGCAGGGGACGTCTGCACACACCTGGTGGGGGGGCCTCACCTTTGCAGGCGTTGTCCAGGTCCTCCTTTCCAAACACGAGGCCGTAGCCCTGGACGGCGCCTGTGTGGAACTGCAGGCGGAAGACGACGTCGCGGGTGGCCGAGCGGTATCTCTTGTGGTAGCACTTCACCTGGAAACAAGGGCACGCTGTGGACACTGGACCATGGACGACACTGGACCACGGACGAGACTTGACCATGGATAACACTAGACCATGGACAACACCAGGACCACGGACAACACCCAGACCACCAACAGCACTAGGACCACGGATGACACTGGACCACAGACACTGGACCACGGGTGACACTGGACCACGGGTGACACCAGACCACGGGTGACACTTGAGGGGCGCACAGGCAGAGCACTGCAGGAGGGCCCGGGGAGTGCCCTGCCCCCGAGTCAGGCTGCTGGCATCACCACCCCAGGTGCGGGTCCCTCTGCAGGACGCTGAGCTGTCCCAGCAGGGCAGGAACCCCACAGCCCTGCGAACGCGGGTGACTGCACCTCTAACTCCGAGAGACATCCACAGAACGAAATTCCGTGGCCTCTTTTTCGTAGTTTCACCTGAACTCTCTGTGCTTCATCTAAAGCCTGCCCGTCCTCGGGGAAGGAGCTGCTGGTCAGGACCTCCTGTAACGTGCTCGATGCTTCTCTGCAGGTTGTAATTCACACAGAGACGGAGACGCGGGGCGGGGGGAGGGGAGAGAGGCCTGGCTCTTAAATTCCAGTGTCGGGCTGTCCAGGCGTCCTGAGTGGTCATTTGAGACCAGCCTCCAGAAGCACCAGGGATGTGATTTGACCTCGGGCTGTTTGTGGCGGCCCAGGGTCCCGGGGTGCAGCTCAGGCCTCCGGGGTGACCGCACTGACGCACAGGGGTACCACCAGGGGAGGGCGGGCAGGGGAGGAGCCCTGAGCATCACTTTCCACCCCAACCTGGGCGGCGCTGGCCATGGGGATGGCTGGAAGGCCACAGAGGGGTGGCGTGCTGCAGAGAGGGGACCCCTCTTTCCTCCCACAGCAGGGCAGGGGCTCCTCTCCGGGGCCCCCAGGGGTATGTGGCCAGAAGCAGCCTGGATTCTGCTCTCAGATGCACAGAATGGAGGGGGCACTCCCTTCACCCCACGTGCCCGGCAGAAGGGGCACCTGGAGGCTTCAGGGCCCTGCCCAGCCATCTGGAACCAGCCAACAAGAATTCTGCAGAAGCGTGAAAACTTCAGCTTGCTTGCCCAACAGCAGATGGCTCACCGGCCACACGTCCTCCGGCCCCTCAGCAGGGTCGGATCAGAGGCTGGCCTCTCAGCTTCCTTCCAGAATGTGCTGCCTGCCCCTCACCGCACCGGGGCCCACGTCCTGCACCGACCGCTCGGCCGAGGCCCCCACCCCAGTGCCGCAGGGGAGACCCCCACAGGATGGTGGTCCCCCCGCGAGCCCATGTCCACGGGCTGACGCGACCCACCGGCCCTCTCCCCGTGGGGCCTTGGAAGTTAGAGCAAGAGCGGGGATGAGCTGGACAAAAGGAAAGAGGGGTTCAGAGACGCCCCAGTCTGGGCGCTCAAGTCTTTATAAACACTGAGGTGCGGCCCAGCTGCCCAAAACACGGCCTCCAGGCACTGATCTCCCCTAAGCGGGCGGCCCCAGGCCAGGCCAGCCCGCAGATCGCACCCCGGACCGCCAGTAGCGGGCCAGCGCCCGTGGGCAGGTGGAGCCCGGGCACCTCCCCGGGCCCAGCGAGACTTGGGTGTCTGAAAACGCCTAGTTTTTCCAGGGACAAGAAGGGCTCGGGTGGAGGGAGGGGCAGCCTCCCAAGAACAGCCCCCTCCTGAGACCTGAGCCCCCCCGAAGCCCTCCCACTGTTTCACGGTGGATGGACCTTCCTCCCCGCTGCTCGGGGTGGACCCCCCACCTGTCCCGCTCCTAGGAACCTCAGGAATGACCCCGTCTCCCGAAGGCACAGAAGACCACGGGCATCTCCCTCATTGGGGTCTGAGCGGCTCTGACCGGAGAGGGGATGGACCCACCCCGCAGGAGCCCTGCCCGGGGGCCTCCACAGAGCCAGACTGGTCACCATCCACGACGGCCAACCTCGGTGGCGTCGGTGACGAGAGACCAGAATCACCTGTCTACACCTGCCACGGGAGAACCGCTGAAGATATCAAGTGTTGGTGACGTTGCGTAAAGATTCGAGCCACCGAGGTCTGCCATTTACCCCTCATCCATCTACGTTAGCAGTTTTATTTACCTAGGTCTCCCCAGCGAGTCTCTAGGACACGGCAATCCTTGGCCTTCAGATTTTAGACTATCTGCATTTGAAAGGACACTCACAAGAGCCAGTGCTCAACTTTGCACGAGGGGAAAACAGTGAAACAGTGGGGAAACAGAGGGAAAAACTCAAACAGTGAGCAGGGCACCAAAGGCCATCGGCTGTCACAGGCCATCCTCCAAAGCGCACAGCGGAGACACGCGGTGTGGGCAGGGCGGGCCTGTGGCTTGGGGAACACCCTTACTACCTCTGACGACACGACTTTCTCTGTATTAAAATGACGGCCTTGCGAATTTGTTACAAGGATCAAATCAGCACCGCGTAGGAACACAGTATGTGAATCCAAACATTCGCTGTATCTGCTGCGTTTTATGCACTTGTTACCAACGGCCCCGAGAGAGACAGTCGCCAACAATCTGGGGCCTCAAGACTAACACATTTTAATTTTTTTTAACTTAAAAAATTAAAAAATTCTTTTTAAATGACTGATATACTGCCAGACCTGCTTAATCCTGAGGCGGCACTGGCGTGTTTTTATTTCAAACTTTCCACCTACAGGAGGAAAAGCACCTTGGACCAAGGGGTATTTTCCCCACATGCAAAATTGAGACCCAGCTCTTGGAATTGTCGTTTCAAATGCAAATATTCTAAAATCTGAAGGCCAAGGGTTGATGTGTTCTAGAAATTCCAAACCAGAGGACACGGTCCCCGGAGCACCTGCCTCGGGGTCAGAGGTCGGCCCTCTGGGGTCCCAGTCCCTGCCCCTCCCCTGGCCAGCCTGGTCAGTGGAGGCCCCTCTTCAGTTCCATTCTCCCTCAGTTATCGAAGCTGCCACGTGCCCCCTCCAGGAAGAGGGTCACCTGCTTCCACCCACTTTGCTGGTGGCCCCAGTGGCCGTCTAGATGGCTCCAAGGAACGTGTGTCCTCAAAGACGCAGCCACAGCCACACACCCTAAGGTTTCACAAACCTGTCAGCTGCCCTGGTGAGTTGGAGCGCCTGCGTTAGCCAGGGCCAGCGCGGTATCACTCAGATGGAGGCCAAAGTGATGTCAGAGGGTGGCAGGGCCCCGCGGCCCAGCGGGGGAGAAAGATGCCTGACAGCGCATACTCGCAGGGCGATACACAGACGGACACACAACTGCCTCCGACAACAGCCCCCGCGGGAGCAAGTCCGGGGACCCCGGGCGCGTCCTCTGCCCGGACGTCACCCAAGTGCCCTGAGCAGGCAGCAGGAGCTACGCAGGCTGGTCGCTGGGGCCAGGTCGGGGCCACCACCACGGCGGCGGGATTCAGCGGCCACGGGGTTTGCACCAGCAGAGACAACAAGACAAGGCACGCGGCTGGGAAAGTGTTTACGAGCCCTCAGGGCCTGGACCATGGCCAGGCTCCCGGCGGCCGCGCCCACGCGGATTCCTCAGCGAGGTTACATACCGACATGCCAGCCGCCCCCGACGGCAGCAAGTCTGCTGAGCGCCCGAGGGGGTGGCCTCGAAAATCTGGCCCTCGGGCGAGCACAGTGCAAAGACGGGGAGGTGGGGTGGGGGTGTGCAGAGGGAGGGAGGGACAGCCCTCCCGCCAGCCCCCCAGGGGGAGGGAGGAAGGACGGAGCCCTCCACCTTCCCACACGGGGTTCCCAACCCGCCAGAGCGGACACGGCCTTACCCCTCGGAACTCGACCCCCGAGACCCGTGTTAACCGGTCTCGACACAGAATCCCTGTAAGCAGAGGAGATGAGCCCACAGACCCCGTGAGGAGGCGGGGAGGAGACGGCACCTGTGACAAGGATGCATTCACCAAACTCCAGGAGGGAAAAAATCCGAGGATGATGTCGTCTCAGAGATCGGTGGCCGGGGCCGCCAGCCGGCCCGGGGAGCCCCTCCTGCCGTCCAGAGCCCAGCACACACCAGACAGCCAGCCTGGCCGAGACCTCGGCCCCTGCGGTGGGAACCCAGACACGCATTCCCTGCAGCTAGGAGTCCGTCCAAGTCCCAGCCTCTGCCAGGTTCTCGCTGAGAGATGAAAACGCCTGTGTATTTGAACCTTTACACAGGAAAGGCCCTGAAGCGTCCCCTCCCCCGACGCAGCTTCCTCCACTCGAGGGCCGTCCGCTGGGTCCACAGAGGAGGGCGCCAGGCGCTAACTGGCCAGAATGCAGGACCAGGAAACCAAAGTTCACCCAAACTGGGAGAGGCTGGGAGGAGACGTGCAGGAGGGCAGCTCAGGCCGCCCCCAGGACACTCTGCCACCGCGACGGACATTCCGGGCACCTGCCCTTCCCGTACGGTTTCTCGGGCTGTCTTCAGGTGGAGCCGACAGCCCTGGGGTTTCAAGCAAGCAGCCCACGGACGGTGCTCTGAGTGTGGCTGTGCTGACACCCAGGGCCTGTCCCCGAGTGCCCCTTCCTCCCCAGGCCGGGATCACCGCTCCCGCGCGACCCTCCCGCGTGTCTCTGTGCACAGGTGAGCACACACGAGGATCCGCCGGCTCGTCCCACTCTACAGCTGGAGTCTAAACTCGCGGGAGTGGGGGCTGCGTGTGACTCACCCTCTCGTCCTCCACGAATGAACGAACGGTCAGGTCACAGCCCGGGGTAGGGGGAGGGGGGAACAATGAGCCCGATTTCACTGCTGATCTCACTAGGGCAGGTTTACTTGACGGACCCAAGTATTAGGAACTGAATTCTGTCCCCCCCAAATTCATACACTGAAGTCCTAAAGGTGACTAACGTAAAATGAGGTCGTACTGGGGTGGGGCAACCCCACGGGACTGGTGTCCTTGTAAGCAGAGATGACACAGACATGCAGAGGGAGACCCCGTGAGGACTCGGGGAGGAGATGGCGTCTGCAGGAGACACCAGCCCTGCCGACACCTTGCTCTCAGGCTCCAGCCTCCAGGACGGGGAGAGGATGATCACCGGTTGTCTGAGCCCCCAGGCAGCGGGACTTTGTCCGGGAGCGCGGGGAACACCAACACGGAAGGTCACAGCTACCCGGAGGCCTCCTCGATCAGTAAACCAAACCTCCTTTCTACAAACGGCACAAGGGGAACCCACCCTGTGTGATGGAAAAGTACTCCTTTCCAGCTGTAACTCACATCCTCCTCCTCCCATCTGATAACACTGCAAAAATAAGTGCAGAGTGTGCAAAAGTGAACAGTAAACACAGGAAGTACAAAGCAAGTCATAATGCGCTCCCAAAATCCTCTGCGTTGGGAGTGCAGAGGTGCGGGAGGGGCTGGCCTACGGGGGGGCTGTGTGCTGGGAAGGGTCTGGGAGACCCTATCTGCCTGCCGGCATCTCTCCCAGGAACAGAAAACCACGGAGAAGCTGTCTTTATGTTGGAAACATTCCCCCAGGAGGCTCCCGAGCCCTCGAGCTGCCGGGGTGCCTGCACCTCGACTTGCGCTGTGATGCGGACGGGCCTGGACACGCGTCCCTAAAGCAGCACCACGGCTGGTCCCCTGGGGAAGACGGCGGCCCGCGGTGCTCGTGGGCTGAGGGCCTGCCCGGGGACTCCGGCCGGGGGTGGGCTCTGGACTGTCAGGTGGGGACGGGGCCCCAGGCAGAGCACCCCGTCAGCTCACCGCAGGGCTGCGTGGCGGTAGGGCCAGTGGGATGGGGCCTGTTGGGGTCGGGGGTCTCCCAGGGTGGAGGCCCCCACGCCGAGCCGCAGCAGGCCCATGGTCACATGGAGTGGCCTTTGCCCCGCCAGCTGCGCTGACCCATCGTGTCCTCATGAACCCCCATGTGGTTCCCATGCAGCAGGGGGACTCGGGTCTGGACAGTGACCCATCCGAGGCCACCCAGTCCCTTTAAGCCGCAGACCTGGTGGAAGCCCAGGCATGGGCCAAGGCCTGTGCCGGCCAAATCCGCTGTGGCTGGAGCGTGCCTTCATTCGGAGACCAAGGGCTTTCTCCCCTGACCACCGCGCCTCCAACTCAGTCCTGCGGCGGGACCCTCGGGTGTAGCTCAGTGCATCGTCAGGACTCGGGAAAGACCTTCGGTAACACCACGCTTCCCAGAAGCAAGCTGCAAAAGCCCTGAACCACCTGGCTTCAATCTCGCAGGACAGCTGACCCCCACAGTGGCACCCTCAGGGTCGGCGCTGCACCCTTCACACCCCGCCCAGCGCCTTGCGCCCGGCCCGAGGGCACGTCCTCCTGGAGCCCCTGGCCCGCCAGCCTTGTCTGGCAGGACCATCTCTGCGGGGCTCTCTGGATCCCCTCCTGGAGACGACCACTCCACAGGCTCCTCCAGGACAAAGATGTCCCCCTACCCCCCCAGTGCCAGGGCCCCACGCAGACGCTCAGAAAGCTACCAACATTCAGAAAGGGCTGCTGGACAAATGAATTAATGGGAAAGGAAGGAAGGGAAGAGAGAGAGAGGCCCCCAACAGGCCCTTGGCTGACAATGGGCCCTTGGCCCAGGCAGGGGGAGAGCCTGCAGCCTCCAGCCCACAGTCAGGCGCTCCTTCTGGGAGAGGAGCCCCACGACCTGGTGTGGGAGTCACCCGCCACGTCCCGGGCTTTTGGCCACCTCCCTCGGGCCATCACAAAGGGACTTGTGCCCTTTGTGGGTCCACAGACCCACCATAGACCCCGGCGAGCCCCCAGCCTGGAGATGCTGGCGGCAGGCTCTCCCCCAGGCCACGGGCTGGAGGCGAGGCTTGGAGCCAGCAGCTGGGTGCCCATCACAACAGCAGCCTCACCATCCTCTCTCGGCCTCTCTGGGTCTCCTGGCCTCCTTCTGGCTGGAGGACTAGAGCCGGGGCCCAGAGCCTGGGGGCAGACTACTAGTGATGAATGAACACTTTCCATCTGCATCTACGCCTGGGAGGCCTGGGTCACGTAAAGACGGGCATTACGGTCGGGAAGTGGGAACCCGGAAAGAGCAGTGGCTGGGTTAGGACTTGAACTTCAAGGGTGCACATTGCAAGTGGCCCTGTTTACTCCCTTTGTTAAAAAGGCTGTACTCACTCTGTAAAGAAGGTCATTTGCCTCATTTTTTTTAGAGTCCACGTATAAGTGTATCATAGGGTATCTGTCTTTCTCTGTCTAACCAACTTCACTTAGTATATAACCTCTAGGTCCATCCATGTTGCTGCAAAAGGTATTATTTCTTTTTCGTGGCTGAATAGTATTCCACTGCAAAAGCAGGAACAGACTCACAGACACAAAACAAACTTATGGTCACCAAAGGGGGAAGGGGGTTGGGATACACTAGGAGCTTGGAATTTACAAGTACAAATTACTGGTTATAAAACAGATTAACAACAAGGCCCTACTGTACAGCATAGGGAACTATATTCAATTTCTTGTAATAAATTATAACGAAAAAGAATCTAAAAAGGAATATGTATGTGTAACTGAATCCCTATGCTGTACACCACAAACCAACACTGTGAATCAACTATATTCAACTTTAAAAAAGCAAACAAAACCTGCACAGCTCTATCAGAAAATCAACCAACTGCCTAAAGAGAAAGGCTGCTTCTCACCCTTCCTGCAGGTTTTCTCTGGGTGGGGGGGTGGGGGGGCTTTTGGGGTGTGATGTGGGAGAGCGGGGTTGGGGACTGTACTCACCATGACGTCCCCCTTCAGGAGCTGGGCCGGCTCCACGGAGATGCAGACCCTGCCTTGGTTTTCTGGGCCAACGTTGCTTCGGAACAAACAAGAATGTTCGTTGTCACAAGGCTCGTGATTTAGTGGGAAGAATGCATTCTGAGAACAGCAGCCCCATGATGGACGTCACACAAGGTGCCTTGCTCCACCCTCAAACCCAAATCCCCAGACTCTCCCCTGCGGAAGTGGTTCTAAAAGGTGCGAAAAAGCCATGGGGCCAGCGAGGTCCTGAGGGCAACACCAGAGACCCCAGGCAGCGTGGAGCCCGGGGGTGCTCACGGCCCCACTTCTGTAATAAGCTAAGAGTGTGACCACCCCAGTGTCACCAACGCCCGGGTCCAACGGGAGTCCAGACACGGGGTAACAGCTCCTTCCGAGCAATGAGCAGCCTTTTTTTCACCTTTGTTCATTTTCCATCAATGTGCATAAAATGCTCATCCAAACAGAAACAAACCCAATCAAAAAGATACAGAAACTCACACACATTCTGGAAATGTGTGCCTGCCCTCTGTCTAAACGCAAAAAGGAGAGAGAGGCAAATCGTGGTCGGCCCCAGAACAAGACCCGTATCCGTTTCCTTCCATGCGGCGCCGGGCCCCTCAGCCCCACTCCGGCCCCAGCGTCCGGGCCCCTGGATGGAGCCAACCGCTGTGACAGCAGCAAGACGCCTGCCGGAGGGATGGCGGGGTCCCCCACCTCGGCTTCCCGGGCGGCTTCCCGGGGGTCCATCCGGGCTCTGCCGCAGCCCCCGCCCCTCCCCAAATGGGCCCCTCCCTCCCCAGCTCTGCAGTGGGACTCCTACCCCGCCCCTCCTGGCCAGGCCCCTCCCCCGCCCGGCAGTGCCCCCTCGCAGGTAGCACACTCACTAGATCCCCGACGTGTACACCGGCTGCATGGCCTGGTAGAGCTTCAGAAAGGGCCGGCAGGCTGAAAGACACGCAGAGTGCTCTGTAAAGACGCGAAGCCAACAGGCGAACCGCAGTCTGGCGGACGGATGCATGGGCAGAGGGGAGCCGGGGCCTGCCCTCGGGGTCTGGGGCAGCAGCGTTGGAGTCGCCCACAGCGAGGGACACCGAGCTCCCGGGGCAGGTCCCACGCCCCTCACTGGCCACCGGTGCCCCTGATAGGCAGGTCGGCCCTGCAGCACCACGGCAGCTTTGTGTGGTCAGGGGCCAGGGGGACTGAGGACCGGCCCTGGCGTGGGCGTCTCAGGAGGGAAGGGGAGGCAGGGCCGGCACCGGGAAGCAGGTGTGGAGACACTCACCTCCGCCCGTGTCGAAGTTCGGGGTCCCGTGCAGGATGACGAAATGCAGGAACAGGGGCGACGCATTCATCTTCACCGTTCCCGACAGGAGCCCGCTGAGAAACTGAACGTACCTGCGGAGGGCAGCGGCTTAGAGCGCCCACGAGGTCCCTCCCGCCCCCACGCCCTAGGGGGGCCCCCGGGGAGGAGGGAGGAGCCCTGGGAGAGACCCCGATGTGACTGCTCACAGCCGGGAGGGGTCCCAGCACCCCAGGCTCTGGTCCCCGCCATGGAGTGCAAGCCAGGCCCACGACCCCGTTGAGAACCTCCGGGCCCCCACACCGACGTGGCCCATGACCTGGATGCAGAACCCTGGGCACCGCCCGCTCTGCACCCCAAGCACCGGGCATCACCTGTGTCCACGGAACCCCAAGCCGGGCAAGGCCAGGGCACGGCGCGGTCACGGTCCCCAGGCCAGGAGACGGGACAGCAGGAGCCCTGCGGTCCCATGCACGTGTTCTCTGAACCAGCTCACACCTCTGAAGGCGGCAAAGTCACCCGGCCCATCTCTCATCCTGCTCTCCCCGGGAAACCCAAGGCACGGGGGTCCGCACCCTGTGCCACATCTGATGGTGAGGGCCCCCACCTGAGGTCCTGCACTGCCCTCCTGCCCTCTGCCTTCTCCTCCTCCGTGCCCGCCCTCCCCACGGCCTGTCCCACCCTGCTCTCTGAAGACCCCGCCGGCCGACAGCCCTGCGGGTGCACCTGGCAGTCCAGAGAGAAGACCCTACCCGAGGAGTGCTTCCCCCTTGCTCCTCCCAGGACACGAGGTGCTGGCTGTGACCCCAGGTGGGCGCAGACCTGCCGGGATCTCACACACAGCCTGGCCTCGGCCCCTCCCTCTCCCTGCAGCACCTGACTCCAGAGCAAAACAGAAGCCCACGGTACGCAGCACCTCCGTGCACCTCGGAACCCCGACGCCGACACGGAACCCCCCAGGCGCAGGGAGGAGGTGCCCGCTGACTCACGGGCTCCTCCACACCCCCCACACCCCGTCCACTCCCCCTGGAGCCAGGGACCCCCGCCCCATGGCTGGGACCCCTGCCAGGCTCAGCGTACTTATGCTAAGAAACTTGTCTGCTTATTTCACTCAGCATGCTGTCCACCCACGTTGTCACAGGCGGTACATTTTCATCCGTTTGTTACGGCTGAGTCCTCTTCCACGTGTGGACGCCATGTCTTCCTCGTCCACTCGTCCCCGGAGCGACACCTGGGTGCTCCGACATCTCGGCTGCTGTGGACGATGCTGCAGTGAACACGGGGTGCAGGCGTCTCTTCAAGGTCCTGCTTTCATTCCTTCAGGTGTACAGCCGGGAGTGGGGTTGCTGGGTCACACAGCAGTTGTTTTTAATTTTCTGAGGACCCTGCAACACCGTCGCCCACAGTGGCTGCACCGGTTTAGATCCCCACCCACAGTGCACGAGGGCCCCTTCCCGCCACGTCCCCGCCGACACTCGTTTTCTCATCCTTTCGATGACGGCCGTCTGACTGGTGGGAGGTAGCGTCTCCTCACAGTGTGTCAGTCATATATATGGAATCTTAAAAAGCCAAAACTTAAAAAAAAAAAAAGGAAATGGTGGTCCCCAGGGCCTGGGGGCTTGGGGACAGGACAGGTTTGAGGGTACAGACCTGCGCAGAGGAGGAGTGAGCCCTGGAGATCTCATCACAGGACATGAATGCATCACACTGACACGTGTACGCCTTAAACTTACACAACGCCACGTGCCGTGCACACTCACATTTTTTAAAAGTATCTGATTGACCCTGGCAATTCAGAGGTAGTCTGTTATCTCAAGCGGCTGAATTTGTAGGCAAAGCAAACGGAACAAGAAGGAAATTTCTAGGAAACTGTGAAAACAGAAGTTTAAAAACCCTACTTGTTAAGTAGGGGGAGGGTAGAACTCAGGGGTACAGCACATGCCTAGCACGCACGAGTCCTGGGTTCAATCCCCAGTGCCGCCTCTAAAGACAAAGCAATAAACCGAATTACCTCCCCCCCCACCAAAAAAAAGACAAAAAAACCCTACCTATAATCTATCCTTTTAGAAAAAACATTAGAACGTTGGCTTCAGCTTGGGTGTCCTTCTCAGTGTTTCCACTTCCCGGGTGGCAGATGCCCCTCTTCCCTTTCAGAGACCTCGCCGCAGGATGGCGAGGCTGGACGGAAGCCCTGGGCGGTGGGCGGCCCCGTGGCCGGGCCGTGGCTGCAGGGATGGACCACCAGGTGGCTCCACTCGGCTTCTTGTCCCACCTTCTAGCCGGACAGCAGGTGTCTTCATTCTCCCGTGCAGACGTGAGGACGCAGGTGTCCATCCTCTCATGCAGACTGAGGGACACGGGTGTCTCCATCCTCAGGACCCGTCTGCCTGCTTATCACCCAGTGCACACCCCGCAGTTTGCAGGCCCTGCAGCTCCCTGGTCCTGAGCACAAGAGAAGGGACCACGGACGTGGTCATCGCCGGCTCCGGAGAGCGGTCGTCCTCCCTGCAGTGCCGGGCAGCCCTGGTCACAACCCTTGACCCCTCGGCCTCCTCATGGCCCAGCCAGTGTGTCTCCTCTGTGGGTGCCCGGCCGCTCGCTCCGCCCGCACTGGTCACTCCGGACAAGGTGGCCCTTCACTCGGGAACCCACGAGCACACAGACCAGGCGCCAGGAAGGAGGGGTGGTGGTCAGTTCGTTTCATGTTTTTGCGCACACGTGGAGGGTCCGCCACTTCCACTGACACAGCCCGGCCACCACTGCCACCCAGCAGCCAGAGGGAGCGTGGACGTTGCTTCTTTCGGGTGAGGAGGGTCAAGGGTCAGGGTGACGGCAGAAGACCATTTCTCTGCAAGCTCCCAGAGCCCGGGCCGCGCTCCCAGGGGTCAGAGACGGAACTGAGGCGGGCATCCCCCTGCCTGGGCCCCGGGCGCACTCCCTGGTGGGGCCAGTTCCTCACGGCATTGCACCAAAAGCCCTCTTCTCAAAGCAGCTCGTGTGTAAATTCTCACCTGCCCATTTCAGACGTCTGCCGTGCATGCAGACTTCTCACCTTTCTAGGTGAATCAAAGACATAAAGTGTTAGCATCAAATGCAGCCGAGTTCTTCCTCCCCGCGCTTTCTTCGTCGGGGAGAAACATAAAGTCATTTTGTACGTCCGAGTGTTTCCTATTCACGAAGCGCCACTTCCCGGCGATCCTGCTGCCTGACCTTGTGGAGCTGAAGTCGTTGCAGGCGACCTGCTCACAGGATGCGATGCAGCCGTAACTCCCGAGCCCCAGGCCTGGATTTCGTGACACTGCGGTTTTACCACCCGGTTGTCAAACACCTGACTGCGATCGGAACAGCCTTTCAGGAAACCTCCGGAGGGAAGACCTGCACGTGTGCCCTCTGCACCTTCCCTGCTTCCCATCCAAGGTCCTCTCGGACACTCACGGCGTCATGTCAAGAACGGGAGAAATGGGGAGGGTGTCGCTCAGGGGTGGAGCGCGTGCTTAGCAGGCACGAGGTCCTCGGTTCCACCCCCAGCCCCTCCTCTAAAACTAATTCAGTAAAACTACCTCCCTCCCCTCCCCCCAAAATGACAGAAATACTCCGAACCACATAATCCTACAACCTGGGGAACTTTCGGCTACTAGACACCCAGGAATCCTGGGGTCCGCACGCCCGGACTTTGGGCCTCCCCCTCGCCTCACAGAGGGGACACGGAACGACCCCTCTGGGGACTCCCCAGGGTCCCTTCTTTCCCGCACCCCTGCGAGGAGTTTGCTGTCCCGAAGGAGCCGGTCACCTGTCGTCCCCCCACCGCTCTCGGAGGGGGGACCCCAGAAGCGTGTGCCGTCTCGCTCCTTCTGGGAACAGGGAAGTGGAGGAAAGGGGGTGAGCTTGCCACCACTTCACTCATCGCTCCCGCCAGGCTGTGCCGACGAAGTCCACAGAAGGAGTTCCTTTTCTTAATTCCCCATCAAACTGAAGGGGCCTCCACGTTCACGGGCCACGCTGACGCAGCAGGGCCGTCAGCCTCCGCCGGAGGCCGCCCCGAGGCTTCCACCCGCTGCCCTCGGTCTGCTCAGGTGACAGGTGCGGGGAGAGGGCACCCCCGCCCAGAAACCCCGCTGGGAACCAGTGACTTCCAAGGGGCCTCTGTTGCCGCAGGCCGCCTGCTCGGTGGCTTTTAGGAGGAAGGCACAAAGTGACAGAGAACCTGCCGTCCGTCAGACGGGCCTCCGGCCTCCCGGGCCCGTAAACTAATCACGCGAAGGCTGGAGGAGCCTTGCTGGCAGGCTCTGAGCTTCCAGAACCACAAGCCTCAGCTCGTGAATCCACTCTGACCACCCGACTGGCTTTGAGATGGTTTCCTCAGCTCAGTCCTGAAACGGCCTGCAAGGCCCGCCCTCGGGGCCGTCTGGGGCCACAGCCACGGCTCCCACCCGCCTGCACCCGCGGACGCGGTCACCGCGCCTCCCGCTGGTCTCAGACGCTCCTGCAGTGCTTCGCTCAGTCGTGACCGGCTGGATTACGGTGTGACCAGCATCTTCCCCGGCGGGCGCTGGGCGGGGTGACCTGCGGGGCTGGAGATGAGCCTCGGATACAAACGTAATCCAGGCCGCCCTGACCACTCGTCAACGCTCCAGCCTGTCCTCACCAGAAGCACCATGACCAGGGCACATCAGAGGAAGAAGTTCCCCTCCTCCTTCAATGCTGTTAAAAAGCTGCAGGGGAGGGCGGCCAGCACCCGTCCCCGGTGAGCGCTGCGCTCTGGGCTGCGCTACCCCCGCTCACCCTCTCGCCGGGGTGCGTACAAACGTCACTGTTTTAGAAAAAGCTCAGCCCAGAAATGACACTCGCTGGCTCAAAATAGAACACGGGGCCGTTTAACTGCAAGGCTAATAAAATCCTGCTTTTCCTCGGTGACTCACGTGTCCTGCGGTCCCACACCCACAACGCACGCCCCAGCCGCGGGAATCGCCCAGGACGGAGCAGCAGGTGCCTCTGTGGTCCCCGAGGCCCCTTCCCTAGTGGAAACATCGCGACTCGGCCCTGGACCAACACACACCCGTGGCCCTGCCTCCCCCCGGGTGCGGCTGGAACTTTCTGTGTCCCGCATCTGCGGGCCCAGCCCTCAGCCCTGGGGAAGCAGACGTGAGCGCAGGAAAACCGTCTCGGTAACTGTCTGCTTTACAGTGAAAACGCGGTGACCGTGTCCTTAGGCCCCCGGCCCCACCTGCAGAGAGAGGGGGTCTGCTGGGCACGGGCTGCCGGCACCCAGCGCTGCTCCACGGGCCTCAGGGTGGCGTGGCTCACCTGGGGGCGGCCTGCTCCCCGGCCCCCTGCAGCTTCTGCCTCTGAGGCTGACGCCGGGCGCAGGCACCGCCAACCCCAAACCCGCATGTGTCCACACTCACCCTGGAGAGCGCGCGGCC